AGGAGGCTGGGCAGGTGATGGGTTTAATTTTTGAAATCTGATTGTATTACCCCCCACCTGACTTTCTGGTCGATCAGAATTAACTCTGGGGCCAAATACCTGTTTGCCTTCCTAGCTTCGGGAGACTCAACTGACTTAGCCAGGCAGGCTTAGTCTTGTTCCCGAGAGGATCCTGGCGTGCCATGGTTGATCCTCTCCAGCCCCTTCCCGAGACTCAGGAGAACGGATCCTCTGCCTCTGAGCTCTTACTACTAAAGGTTTCTTTCGTTTCCAGGGACCTACATACTTAAGTGAGAACAGCACATAATGGTAAAGATTTTGTGTGTGTGATATACTTACCACTTAAGCCTTGAAAGTTTTTAAAACAGGTTGTACTTCTGCTTCAGAAGAAATTTTCTCTGTAGATAGTGTAACTGATTTGAATTAAGTGGGAGTCTGTTTGGGACGTTCTAATTTTCTGTCCCATGAATTTGAAAGCCAGCATCATGGGACGGTGGAGACCTCTTAGCCTAGCTGTTTCTCTGCCCACTTGTTTTCTGAAGAACTTCACTGGCAGTGCATCTGCCCAGGGGGTTCGTGGTCTTACGAGTGTATGAAGGGTCCTTAGAAAGCTCATAGGGAGTATGTGTTATGAAAGAACTATGCCCGGATTACAGAGTTACGTTTCCCCATAATAAATTTGGACTGTAATTCCATTTTCCATGAACATTTTGGAATCCCCTCATACATAGTGATAGAATTCTTGGATCATTAAGCAGGTGAATATGGAGCTATAATAGATACTACCAACTTTCAGTTCCTCTTGCAGCACCTCCTTGACTAATAGTTGCTGGTTATTTTTAAGAATTATTCATTTAATTTTTAATTCATTACTATTATTTTTAAATTTGCTATAGGGCACATATGCTCATGAGAGAGAGGGGAGAGAGAAGGGGAATGTGAGTGAGCAAGGTGAGAAAGCTGTCAGGTCCGGGACTTGAACCACAGTCAGCCATGTGGGAGTCCAGCACCTTAACCACCACACTACCTGCTAGCCCAGTAACTTTATTATCCCCTTTCATGCTGCGTGTGTTCCTTTTCCTGTCACGTTGTCTGCCCTTTCGTATGAATTCTCTGACTGGTGCAAGTCCTTTGCTGGCCGTATGTGATACCGAATCACCCACTCTGGGGTTGTCACTTTACTCTTTGGGTGAAAAATTTTCATTTACAAAACTCAATTTATTGATTTTATCTTTTGTAGTTAAGAATGTTTCACATCCTACTTAGGAAATTTTTGCCTGTTCTAAGTTATGAAGTTCAAGTCCTTGAACTTTGTTGAATTAAAAAGGAAAGAATCCTTCACTCTTTTTAAGGTTTTTATTTTTTTTATTTAATTAATTTATTTTTTTTTGCCATAGAGTGCCTACCTTATTAAAGAGAGACAAATGGAAGGAAAGTGAGACATCACCCCACCCCCACCCCCCAAAGCCACTCCACAGTCCATTTTGTTCTCAGGATTTGGGGCATGCACACACATGCACCTAGTGTGATTTTCAAACCACCAGGTCTGGGACTCACACGTGGTTGACCATGTGGGAGTCCGTTGCCATAACCACCGCACTACTTGGTGGTCCCAAGAACCCTTCGTCCTCATCTGGTGGTTCTTAACCTTGTGCACCTGTGACGGTCTGTCTAAAACTCTGGCCCCATGCACAGCAGGGCACATGTGCACATCCAGACTTCCTGCAGTTTCCCACTGACCTCCTCGCTTACCTTTGGGCTCCTTGCTGAAGGGCCCCTAATCTAGTCCAACCTGGTCATTCTGCAAATGAGGATACTGAGACCCTGAGCAGGAGCGTCATGCTGTCCATCTGGCCAGCTCAGGCAGTCGGGTCTCCTCGTTCTCCTGACTCCTTGCAGTGCTCGCTCTGACATAGCTCCCTGCGGCCATCTCCCCCTGCAGAGCCACCAAGGGGAAAGTGCTCTCAGTGTGGATGATTTCTATCTACTCGGAGCAAAAACGGCTACACGGCGACACCCATTGACTTTGTGTATTAACCTTCAGTGTCTCCAAGGAGTCTGTGACTAAGGTGTTTGAAGTCGAGCTGGGAATTAATTGTCATGGCCGTGCATCTTCCTCCAGCCTGACTCAGGGCCTCAAGGATGCCGTGTGGCACTCACTGTGTGCCAGCCTTACCTGGCTCTGCTCCATCTTTTGGCTGGTTCCGACTGGGCAAGTGAGTGAGGTTTAAGAGTGGTTGCTTTCAGGAGGAATTAGAAGAGGCAGTGGCAGGGAGAAGTCGAGCTGGGAATTAATTGTCATGGCCGTGCATCTTCCTCCAGCCTGACTCAGGGCCTCAAGGATGCCGTGTGGCACTCACTGTGTGCCAGCCTTACCTGGCTCTGCTCCATCTTTTGGCTGGTTCCGACTGGGCAAGTGAGTGAGGTTTAAGAGTGGTTGCTTTCAGGAGGAATTAGAAGAGGCAGTGGCAGGGAGAAGGCTCTGAGCATGTTGCTGGGGCAGTGGCACCTGCAGGTAGTCGGTGGCAGATAAGCCGGGCTGGGGCGTCCATTACTGATTTTCTTGGTAACCTGCCCTCCTGCCTGCCGCTGGCTGTCTGCAGTAACCTCCTCATAGGCTCTCAGCTGACTGGGCAGCTTACAGGGCAAGGCACTTTCAAGAGAGTGCTTACACGCCAGTGCTAGGCATCTCCAGAAAGAGTCCTGTTGCCTGGTCCATGTGCTTGCAAAGTGCACTGCTGGGGACGTGCATTCCACATTGCAGTTTGCACCTCAGAGCAGAAAGCACTGTCTGGCCTTCGGCCCACACCCCGAAGCTCAGGCTGAATAATGTCACCCTCCACACAGAGGAAGCTGAGCCGTAACCTGTGTGAATGGGATCCCGTTAGGTCTGATGAACAGTGCCCCGTTTATTTTGCCTCCTTTCTTCTTTCCCATTGGCCCCCGAGGACCTCTCCTCCAGTTTCACCACATTCTTGTGATGAGCTAGCCCGGGGGAGGGCATGCTTGTGGGTCAGCATCTGGAGGGGGAGGATTTTAACAGGATCTCCTTAGTGCCCACTCTATACTCGGTGAAAACAGACACATGGGACAAGGTCCCTGTCCCCAAGGAGCCCGCAGTCCAGGTAGAGGGCTGGTCAGCAGGCAGGCACCTGACAGTGTGGTCATTGCTGAGCTGGAGGTGAGCACGGGTGGCCGGGAGCAGCCCGGGAGTCCAGACGGTCTGCTCAGCCTAGGGAAGATGGAAAGGGGGACACAGGGTTTACTGAAGTGGCAGGAGGAGCAGTTGCTGTGGGCCAGCAGGGGGATGCACAGTGGGCTCTTGCTGTGGGCTGGGGGCTGGAATCCAGGCCCTGGGGGAGAGAAGGGGCCAAGGGTGTCCATTCATACACAGTCCCTCTCCTCCTTTTTGAATGAGCTACTAAATTAAAGGCTGCCAACGTGCTCCTAACTGAAAAGATTCACTTATCCCAGTAACTCGGCTACCCTTGGCATCCATATTGCCCTGTCAGTACTTGCCTAAGTGAGAAACATTTCTCCCCACGTTGATCACAGTGACTTTTTTTTTTTTTTAAGTAGATTTTTGCTACAGGACATGTGTCTTGCCAGAGAGGCAGGAGACAAAGTGAGAAATCACCTCCTAAGGAGGATGGCCATGTGGCAATCCCTTCTCTTCCATTCTTCTTCCGGGATCTTGGGCACACATGCACATGCGCCCAGCATGAATTTGAAGCCACCAGGTCCAGGACTTGAACTGTAGTTGGCCATGTGGGAGTCTAGCAACATAACCACTACGCCATCTGCTGGTCCCGATCACAATGACCTTAAGCAGGTTTCAGCTCCCTGGTCTCTGAGAGCACACACATCAGCCCATGGCTGCCCCACTCCAAAGGCAAGACTCTTGAGAGAATTTCACGGACCCCAGCTCAGAATCCACTCAGCAGGCCTCCATGTGCTCACACTCTCTTCTCTTCTAGGCATGAAGTCAGTGATTTATAGTTCACTAAAACTGCACAAAGTGTGGAAAGGATGGCTGAGGAAATCACCCTGACTTTGCTTGCTTTTATGTCATGTACAGGTGAATAAAGCGGTTGATCCTTTTTGACAGAACAGCCTTTGTTACTTTGATACCAGTTTAAAGATGTGTTGGGTTTTTAAATGTATGCCTCATACATCATCCCAGGTGGGCCCCAGATACCTCTGGAGAGTGTAGCATCAGAAGAAAAAAATTTTCTCTGTCTACAGAACTGCATGGTGCTGCATACCAGCTTAACCGTGGCCTGCACCAGAGGGTCCGTGAGTGTCTGAAATGGGACAAACTGTGTTGCTGAGACACATGGCCTGAGGGGACTGCAGGCTGGGCAGGCATGGCCCTCTCAGCCTGGCTGGTTATATTCCTGTCTCCATCCCATCACTTGGTTTCTTTCCAACACCAGGGCAGGCGTGTTCGCCCCCACTTTCTTCACAGCTCTCTGTCCTTTGTGGTGGTGGTGTCTGCTGCGTCTGGCTCCCTGTAATTACAGGACCCCTGGCAACACTTCAAGGGCTCCGCATTTCCCCATCCTTCTTTGGGGAGACAGAAAGACTCATTATAGAAGCCGTCTTAGAAGAGCAAGTAAATTTTCTAACAGCCTCTAGCAAGCCTCTGTCAGGTTTTACGAGCCCTAATTGGGTGACACACCCATCCCTGAGCCAGTGCAAGGCCAAAAGGTGGAACGAAGCCGAGTAGCCTAGGCCTGAGCTGCTGGCTCAGCCAAGAGGCAAGTTGCCCTTGAGCTCACGGGCTGCAGAGGAAGCAGTAGACACCCAGATGGAAATCAGGGAGGAGAGGCTGTCTGTCACAGGCAGCCACCTCGTCCACCTCATAGGCCACACTAGTCTCAGCAGTGGGCCTCTGCTGCTGTTTTGCCTTCACATGATCTCAGTTTCCTGGCATTATGAATTTGCATTGCCCAGTGCTCTGGTGCTGCCCCTAGGATGTCTTGTCCATTTGAATCATGTCTTTCTACTTATTTTTTCTACTATTAGCTCATTCCCACCCAAGCTGAAAGTCTGATAGTGTGGGGAAATGAGCTCAGACTTAGGACTGTCCAAGCAGTAGAGTCTCAGCTCCATTGCTGACTGGCTGTGTTGCTTTGGACAAGTGATCAGGTCGTCAGAAAAGCCATGACACATTTTTGCATTGAAAACCATAGTTAAATACACCATGACTTTTCTAACAACCCATTATTTTCCCTCTTTGAAGAGTTTCTCTGCCTGTGAGATGGAGATAACTGTTACGAACTCCCTCCAGCTGTGATGGTCCTGTGACCTTACATTCATAAAGCACATAGGATTAGTGCCTAGTACGTAATGGCTGTCACTGCTATCATCCTTAACTTTTTTTAGTTCCAGAGGTTGTGAATACTTGCCAGAAAGAAAGAGAGAGAGAGAAAGAACTCCCAACGGGACATGGTCATACCACAATCCCTTCTCCGTTTTTCCATCCTGCCTGGATTTGGGGCATGCATATTCATATACCTACAGTGTTACTCAAGCTTCTGGGACCAGGACTCAAATCACAGTCAGCCATATAGGATCTGGCTCCCTTAACCACTAGGCTATAGGGCTGGCTCTCACCATTTTTTAGTGTTGTTTTTATTTTCTTCTAGTATTTCTGTAGTATTGTGTTTACTAGTATGAGATTCTTCCTTGTGGAGTTTAAAATGTTCCTCAATACTTATAGAATAGAAATTTAAATTTCTCATCAGCTTATTAAAGATGTTCTATAATTGGTTTTATTTTGCTTTAACTTCCTTCCCCTGTATCTGTTACAGCTTTGCTAGTTTGTTGTATGTAAGTCAGAGCTCATACCAGTGAGAAAGAGGGCGAGGGAGAAAGCACCCCCTCAGTGAGGCACAGTCATGCTGCAGCCCTTCTCCATTTTATCATGCCATCGAGATTTGGGGTCCACATGCACATGTGCCCAGAATATTCCTTTTTCAAGTCACCAGGGCCAGGATTTCAATGACCATGTGGTCACTTGTGTGCTGTATGACCTCCTTAACCACTAGGTAACAGGATCTTTTTTAATTTTTTACTTTTTTTTTTAGACAAGGTCTCACTATTATAACTCTCCCACTCAGCCTCCCAAGTAGCATGTACTTCCATGTCCAGCTCTTTCAGACAGGGTCTCACTGTGTTGCCCTGGCAGGCTGTAAGCTTGTGATCCTCTTGACTCGGCTTCCTGGGTCACCAGAACTAAAGGTGCACACCATCATGCCTGGCCTGTCTGGCATCAAACCCATGCATCCTCTGTCATCCCAGCTGGTGGAGCAGTGACTTAGCAAGTGCCACCATGACTGGGCCCTGATAAAGATTTTTAGATCCCCAAAGTAGATACTTTACAAAGTAGGCACTCAGTAGAGCACAGAATGTAGGGTCATGTTCCAGATGCAGAACCTGAGACTTCTGGAGAGGAACTGATGCCCTGGGGCCTCACCTATGTGCTTAACAAAGCGGGACTTGAACTCGGGCCCCCAGACTCCTAGCCAGTGCTCTTTCCCACATACCTTGCAACCTTCACAAATTATGAATATTTGAGTCTTTGCATTCCATTTCTTCTAGATGTATTCTCTTTTAAAAATTATTTTATTTTCTTAATAGTTTTTAATGTACCCAGAGAGAGAGAGAAGGGGAAAGTGAGAGAGCAAGCCTCCAGGTCTGGGATATAAACCATGGTTGGCCATGTGTGTCCAGTGCCTTAACTACCACTTCACCTGCTGGCCCCTCTTTTTTTTTTTTTTAAAGTTAATGAGAGG